GGGTTCAATTTAATGAGATGCATTTAATTTGCAAAGGGGCTAAATGAGATTGGCCCAGAGAGAGGCTCAGAAATATAAAAGTATAAGATACACTTGAAAGTGGTATAATAAAACCTGCCTCATCCGTGGGATGGAAATAAGAGGCTGAGATGCACACAGCATGATGCCCTCAGCATTCTCTGTGGGCCTTGGTACTTAATCCCCTGCCTGTGATGTCCTGCAAAGGTAAAATAACTTTGACCCTAGATTGATGCTGGGCACATAGTAGCATTGATGAAAGCTTATTGAATGGAAAACTGGCTAGAGGTTGTAGTCTACATAGAAAAAGGAAGTTAGAAGGGGGAGCTATAAAGTAAGGAACTTCAAAGGCAACTGAAAAGTTCTCTCCTGTCTTCTCCTCCACTTCTCCTCTCCTCTCCTTTCTTCCCTTCCTCCCTTTCTGTTCTCTTTCTTAGACTTTCTTATGTAGCCCAAACTGGTCTCACAGTCTCCATCTGCCTGCCTCTACTTCCTAGGTGCTTGGATTACAGGTGTGTGCCATATGTCCAGCTCTGAAATTGATTCTATTTTTAAAATTATATTCTATTTCTCTCTCTCTCTCTCTCTCTCTCTCTCTCTCTCTCTCTCTCTCTCTCTCTCTCTGCATGCCTTGGCGTGTATATGGAGATAAGAGGACAACTTGGGAGAGTCAGCTCTCTCTTTCCACCATAGTGAGTCCTAGGAATGAAACTCAGGTCACCTGGCTTGGTGAAAAATGCTTTTACTCACTGAACCATCTCACTGTTCCCTGAAAATTATTTCTATGAGCAGTGCTTCTGAGGAAACACTGGTAGTAGGGTTTAATCTGAAGATATAAAAAGCACCCCTGGTAGTTTTAAAGGTTCATGATTACTTCTCAAGGCCAGGTAGGCAGGTGACACATGAGTGAGGGTGAGTATGAGACATGGGTACACAGTGCAAGAAAGGGAGAACTTGTTGCATTTCCATGAATATGTTCTCTCTAATGTTTTGTTTACAAGGCAGAGTCATCTTAGATTATCTTGCTTTCTCATTCTTTTTTTAAAAAGATTTATTTGTAATTTATGTGTATGAGGGTTTTTTCCTACATATTTGTATGGCATCTGTGCAGTGCTCATGGAGGCCAGAAGATGGCATCTGGAACCAGGGTTACAGGTGGTTGTAAGCTACCATGTGTGTGCTGGGAACCAAACCATGGTCTTCTGGAAGAGCAGCAAGTGATCTTAAGGGTTGAGCCATCTTTCCAGCCCCCTTGCTTTCTCATTCTTGATAGAGAAATGGGTTTAGAGAAATACTTCCCTTCTTAAAAACAACTATTTAGCCTTGCATAGTAGTGCACACCTATAATCTCAACACTCAGAAGCTGAGGTTGGAGGATGAAGAGTCCAAGGTTGTCTGTACTACATAGTGAATTTGAGGTCAGCTTGGCATACATGCTAGTTTCAGGTCACCTTATGCTATATAAGAAGACACCCCCCAGTACTGGTTAGGTTTTTTGTTGACTTGACACAAATTGAAGTCACCTGGGAAGAAGGAACTTCAGATGAGGAATTTCCTCCTGCTGGCATGTCTGTGGTGGATTTACTTGATTGCTAACTGATGTAGGAGAGCCCAGCCCACTGTGGGCAGTGCTACTCCTAGGCAGGTGGGCCTGGGCTGTATAAGAAAGGTTGCTGAGCTAGCCATGAAAGCAAGCCAGTAAGCAGCCTTCCTCCATGGTCTCTGCTTCAGTCCCTGCCTCCAGGTTCCTGTTTTGAGCTCCTGTCTTTGCTTCCCTCAGTGACAGACTACAACCTATATGATGAAATAGACTCCTTTTTTGTTGCTTATAGTCCCAGCTAGCTTGGAACTCACTATGTAGACTAGGCTGGCCTTGATCTCAGTGATCTACCTGCCTCTACCTCCCAAGTGCTGGAATTAAAGGTGTGCACCACCATGCCTGGCTCCCAAGTTGCTTTTTTTAAAGTTTTTTTGTTTTGTTTTGTTTTGTTTGGGGTTTTTTTTTTATTTTATTTATTTTTATCTTAAGGGTAGAAGTGTTTTGCCTGCATGTGTAAAGGCATACCATGTGTGTGCAGTGTCCACAGATGCCATAAGAGGGCACCAAATCCCCTAGAACTGGAGTTACAGACAGTTGTGAGCTGCCATGTGAATGCTGGGAACCAAACGGGTTTTCTTCAAGAGCAGCAAGTGCTCTTAACCACTGAGTCATGTCTGCAATACTCCCAAGTTGTTTTGGCCAATGTTTTGTCACAGCAACAGGAAGCAAACTAGAACACTCCTGAATAAAAACAAATAATTCATGCCTAATGGCATAAACCTATAATTCCAGCCATCCAGGAGGGTGAGGTAGGAAGATCACAAGTTCAAGGACTAACTATGCTACGGAGCAAGTTCAAAGTCAGCCTAGACAAGTTAGTGATATGTTGTCTTAAAATTTAAAAAAAAAATACAAAAGGAGTTGCTCAAGGTCATAGGTTCAATCTCCAATACTATGAAACAAAATATTCCAAGCACCTAGATATAGGGGAGAAGAAGAAAAATTAGGAGAATGCATAACCAACCAACCAACCACATAAGGACAGCCCTAGGTTTGTTATAGCTGACCTTCAGCCTCAGTATTGGGCCACCACAGGAATGGGGGATGTCATAGCTTAGAGAGTAAGCCTCAGGGGTAGCCATTATCCTACCACTCCACTCATGGGCACACAGGAGTGTAGGTCCTAGATTGCCTGGCTGCCTGACTCAGGGGAGACCAGAAATACAATTCATTTAAATGTGCAGTCTTCTAACTTCTAAATGTTGGTACAAAAATCTTAAAAAAACAACATCTGATCCAAGCAAAAACATGTCTGGCAGCTAAATGTTACAGTAATATCACACTTAAATCTAAGTATCTCTTGTTTGCAACTTTGAGTGGTAAAGTTAGAGATCAGTATCCCAGAATGATCAGATTATAGCTCTAAGAATTACAGGGGTGCCCTAGTCTTCGCCTAGAATGCAAACTCTCTGGAGATAAGAGCTTCATTGGCCATAGTTGTGTCCTTGGTGAGTAGAACAGAGACTGGGACAGAATGGGACTTCAACAAATCAACAGAGGCCTCATTAGGATGAAGACTGAGCAGGCGGCAGGCCATTGCCTTCATCTGACCAATGTAAGGCAGTAGAGGGACTTCTAGATCAAAGACAAGTCACTTAGGCCATCGGCTTCCATGGGTAGGATATGTAAGCCTGAAAGATCTTTCCAAATGGACTGGGAGTCAGGAGCAGAAGCCAGACTGAACAGTTTCTTGGGCTGTGGTATCAGAATTTCATCTGGGGTTAAAGAAATCTACCCATCCCTCCCCCAATATCCCATCTCTGCCATTACCATGGGTACATCATCTCTTTGGATTTAGTAGCATTTGGGTCATGCAGGGAAAGAGCTTGCTGCCTCCTTAGAACACAACCACCCATATCTCAAACCATTTAGAAAACCCCTTTTTAGTTGGCAGTATGGTTGAAAAGATGGCAGGGCTAGATAGAAAAACAGGAGGGGAGGAGAGGTTGGGGAAAGCCAGTCTGTAATCTCTTTAGAATAGATTTCCTACTATGTGTTTTGCAGAATCATTAATAGTTACGACTTGAGAGAAGAGCAAACATAGCAACAAATTTATCTGGGGACCAGTTAAAACAGAACAAGGTGTTTTTCCTGTGGGATTTTCAGAGCTTTGAGTACAGTAATGTGCATTATACTAGCAAAGTATAATATATATTTTAGCTAAGAATATTGGACTAATTTGGTTATGAAATTTTTCTTGGCAGTGTGTCATTTTTTAAAATTTTATTTGTTAATGCCTTGGAGGCCAGAAGAAGGCATAAGATTCCCTGGAATTGGAGTTACAGGCTGTCATGGACTGCCTCATATGGGTGCTTGGAACCAAACTGGGTCCTCTGCAAAAACAGCAAGAGATCCTAACTGCTTAGCCATCTCTCCACCCTCTTGGCAGCTCTGTCTTTTGACATTGTGTTGCTTGGAAACCACTGCTTTAAAAGATAGTGCAGTCTACTGCTTAGCCATCTCTCCACCCTCTTGGCAGCTCTGTCTTTTGACATTGTGTTGCTTGGAAACCACTGCTTTAAAAGATAGTGCAGTCTTCCCAATACTCTTTATGTTTTATTCTTTATTTTTTTAGATAGGTCTCATATATCCTAGGCTCCCTCAAACTGGATCCTGCCTCTATCTCCCCGAGGAGGGTTAGGTTAACACGTGTGCATCGCCATGGTTGGCTCCAAGTCTTCCCAGTTCTGGAAGGTCTTGACCTTTCTGATTTTCCTACAGAGACAGTTCTGCTAGTTTGCAGAATTCTATCCAGGTGATGGCAGTGTTGGGCTCTGTGAGAACAGTAACCCAGGGAACCTCCCTCAGCTACTGAGACTCATTTGCCTGGGTGACCACTCCTTCCTCCTCCTTGGCCTGGCTCTAGGGAGTGTAGTGAAGACTCCTGGGGAAGGCCCCAACCCTGGACATAGTCCTGTTGTCAAAGTTGCAGCCTGGGTTGCATCTCCTTCCAAGTCCCAGGACTTTTTTTTAACCTGTGGGACAGGGAAAGGTGGGCATATGCGGGCAAGGTGGCACCAGCTTAGATGATGAAGACCTAGGCTGGAGATGGGAAATACAAAAGCCTTTGAGGGAGGTAGAGAACCTTGTCAGGTGTCCACTGCAGTGGAGAGAAACTGTCAGGAGAGGGCAGTGAAGAGTCTACCTCCGCCTTCTCTAAGTTCTCACTTAGACATACATAGGGTAGATGCACCAAAGTTGATTATCTTCCTCTCCAGACAGGCTGAGGTAACTCTGAAAACCCTCTACTTTGTCCTTTTCTGAGGGCAATCATTTCAATGGAGAAGATAATGGACCTTCAAATTCTGTCTGACTCAGAGTCCCACTGAAGCCATAAGAGACCTCTAGGACAGCCATAGGAAGAGAGAATTGCGCACCAGAATTGCGATAGGTGATAAGGTTTACTGAAAACTTCGCAGCCACATTCAGTACTGGTTTGGTGGATACATCGGAAGGAGGTTGCATAACATTAGGCAGGTGGAAGGGACAGGGAGGAAGAGATGTGGGCATATGTGCACACTCACATGTATGCACGCATGTCTGTGCTGGGTGGGATGCTTGTCACGGTGTTGAGTGGAAAAAGTTATGTGTGCATGTGTGTATTTTAACAAGAACAATGAACCAGAAGAGGAAATGCTTTTATCCCACTGCGTGTTGCAAAAGTCTCACGTCAAAAGCTCCCCTTTCTTCTACCCACGACACCAAAAGGGAGTAAAAAATGATTGGATCACCCAGATTATAAATAAGGTTATTTGTTTCTCAAAAATCCCTAGTAAAACATTAAATATCAGCTCTTTTGGGGGAGAAATACATTCATTTCTGGGAGACCTCAGAAAAGAGACTATTCTTTTGTTCCACTCCAACTAGGTGAGGGGGGGGAGCCCAGAGGGCCCTGAGGGTCCCCTCCAGTTGAACCATGTAGCCACTCACATCCTGCCACTGAGGAAGATGGCTAATGCACAATTGACAAATGAAACTGCACATCCATCAAATTAAACCCAAAGTAAAAAACACATGTGATCAGTCCTGCCATTCATAGCCATAGGGTGGGAGGCGACAGAAGGAGTGGGTGCCAATTATGGGCCCTCCAAGTTGGGCTTGGAGAGTCTGAGTTAGGGTAGATGGTGGAAAGCCTCCTCCCAGGAGCCCCATTTCCTCCAGCAATGAGAACGGTGGTGGTGTGCAGATCAGCCCTCAGCTGCCATTCCCCTGCCATTTCGGGTACTAAGGGAAGAGATGCAGCATTTTCATCAAACCCTGGCTTCCCACTGGGCTAATGCCTCTTCTCAATGTTTCTTCTGCCTTCTCTGAAGGATAGAATGAAGAAGGGAGGCTGAAGACTGATGCTGTCAGCCTGGGAGCAGAGGGATACCATGGGCGGGGGGCTGTGGTGTAGGAAGACATCTCAGCCCCACCTCTCTAAAGGTCTCCAGAGGAGCTGGAACATCTGAGGAACTCCATCTGAGGGCAGACCATCTAGGGTAAGATGCCATAGTTCTCTTGTTACAGGAGCTCTAACGTGACTACCTAGGGACTGCTGTGATCCCCAAAGTCATCTTAATATGGCTCCTGATCCAGGTTCTGCTACTTCCTTGGTCCTAGTTGACCCAGATGGAGAGATTCCTCATTAACCTCCTACAGGTTGGACCCACTGACAATGTATTTCCAAGAGAAGAAGGAGTCCCATCTGGCTTCCTTCCCATCTCCCAAGTCCATAGCTGCTGTGCCCAGAGACAGGGCCCTGGTGGGGCAAGTTAGAGCCCTATGGAGACCAGGTCCCTCTCTGATCTGCAGATTTGCTGCTGCCCCAGGCCTTACCCCTCCTCTGGCCACTGGTTATGCTTTTGGGCTCCCTCCTGCTCTTGAGTGTCTTTCAAGGGAACTCAGATCCTCCTGGGGGAAGATCTTAGACCCCTTTGCCTCCCCCTTCCCTCCCAAATCTGTCCCTTGACAAAGGTCTACTCTGCAAACAGCACCTGTCTACCTCGCAGTACAGGGCTTGTAAACAATGCAAGTCCTTTTCCATGTGGGGCCATGGGTGCCACCTGTCCTTGGGTGTTTGGTGAGTCCAGTTCTCACTCTGTCTTTCTTCACAGGCTGCTTGACTGGCCCCAGCAAATGGAGTGCTCTGCAGTCTGAGGGTCGGGGGCTGGGTGTTCACTGAAGCTTGGTGGTTGAGAAGGAGCAGGGTGTCTCCTTTGCATTTCTTCAAGCTACAATTTGGGGAAGCTCGGGCCCAACTTTCTTGGTGCTGCCCATATCCCCTCCCCCCCACCCTGAACCCTCCTGATGACACTCCTTTCCTGCTCAGTGACCAGTGCCATCTGGGCTGCCTGACTATTCCAGGGAGTCACTGTGTTCCAAGCCCAAGTCGCTGACATTCGTTGTCTGCAGCTCATCGGCCTCCTCCTCCAACTCTTCCTCTTCTTCCTCCTCCTCTTCCATCTCATCCTCATCCTCTTCTTCGGTCCCATCCAATGAGTCATCGTGTGCAGCCATCATGGCCTGCTGCATGGCCATGGTGGCATTGTCTGAGGACAGGGACTGCAGGTTGTCCAAGTTGATGGAACCTGCATGGGAGAGAGCAAAGGTGAGGACATGCAGGGGCTATTGGTCAGGTCCTGCAACCTTAGTGATGGGCAGGGTGGATGGGCTGGCTCACGGGATGGCAGGTCCTTATTTTTAGGGGCACAGAACTCTCAATGAGACAATCCCTTGGCATGAAGCCTTTCATCTATCCGCTCTTCAGCTTTTCCCTGCCCCATCCCAGGCAACAGCACTCCAGGTGACTATGTTCTTAGACTCCTCCATATAAGTACAGGGAATGCTTTTTGACTTTCCAACAGCTCTATAAGGCAGGAGTCCTGGTCTCCATTCTGAAGAGGATGAACTGAATCTCAGACAGTTAAGTCATGAGCTGAAGGTGCTGTGTGAGTGATGACAGACTTGAGATTCTCTTGAAAGCTTGTCCTGCACCATGTCTATTTATTCCTAATATAACTCACCAGATGGTGACCCATCACATAGGAACCTGTGCAAAGCCATATGCACAAAGATGTGTGTGCACATGGGTGTCTCCACCTTACCGCCCACACAGTGGTCCTCACATATCAAGCTCAGAAATGTCTGGCTGATTGAATTATTCATTGTGTACCAGGCAACTGGCAATTTGAAGAGCATATATGGAGGGTGTGATGGAGAAACTAGGAGAACAAAGCTTCTGGCCTCTGTTTACAAGCCAGCTGCTTGCTTTGGTATTTATAGATGGCCTTGCCTTTGGAGAGCTGAGCAGACAGTGTGTTGAGCAACCCAGGAGTGTGATGAGTGAGGAGACTCTGCCAAGCCATCACTGACTCAGAGGACCACCAGCTCCTTTCTACTCCTTTGTAAGCTTGCTTTTGGTTTGTTAAAATTTATACAAAAGCTGGGTGTTGAGGCACATGACTATAATCCAAGCACTAGGAAAGCAGAGACAGAAGGATAGAAGTTCAAGGCCAGACTCAGTTATATGGAATGTTTGAGGCCAGACTACAGGAGATCCTGTCTCAATCAACCAATCCCAGACAAACAAACAAAAAGAAAAACATGATTTGTACATGCCCTCTCCAATAAGGCTTTAACAGCAGGGATGAGCACTGTGATAAAATGGGGACAGGGACCCTGGGTAAAGAAACAGTCAACCCTTGGATCTTTGCTTTCCAGAAGCCCCACCAGCCCCAACCTAGAGCACCATGAGTCCCAGTCTTACCGTCAGGGTTTGTCCCTGGGGCACCCCCCTGCTGCTGCAGGACCCCGGCGGCAATGGAATTGGGCCAGAATCTTTGGGTGGGCCGGTGCTGAGATTTGATCTTCTTGGCTTTGGGGGCAGGGTCTGGGTTGCTGGCATCAAGCATGGGCTGCAGGATGCGCCTCCGGGCGTTGATGAACCTGTCCAGGGGTGATGATGGAGAATGGTTAGTCACTCTCTGGGTCACCTGGGTGTTGGGAATGAGGCAGGTGTGAAAGCTAAGTTGCTCCAAAGTGTCAGTAGACAGATATTCCAATCTAGGGGTAAAAGCTTTCTGGGACTGAGGAGTTCCTGAAGTCTCTTGATGACTACAGGCAGCATGGGAAGAATACATGAGAAAGAGTCAGAACTTTCTACTCAAGATCCACCATGACTGAACAGAGGAGGGAAAAGCTGTGGTCACAGGAACTGCCTTCTGACTTGGACTCAGATCAGGGTCCCAGCTCTAAGATCCATCCCCAACCAGCCAGACCTGGCTCTCTGAGCTCTGACAGTCCAGCCAGAAGCAAACAGACAATGGGAACACTGAGGTTCCTGTGGGGTCAGAATGACATCTCTCCCTCCACCTTCCCACCTTCTTTTGTAGAATTCTTCGGGGTTTTGCTCACATGGAGTTGGGTAGACCATATAACCACCATTGGTTGTAGCTCTGGTAAGGGATGCAAAGCCCTTCGTCTGTCTCTGCTGGGCAGGTGGGCCTGGATTCTCTAGCAGGGTTGGGTTTTCTATGATCAAGACACTTCCAGGGAGGTGCCAGATGAAAATTCCCAGCAGAGGGCGCTGAGAAGCCGCAGTTGAAGCCAAGGGAGGACTGACCTGGCAGCTGGGCTGAGACCGAGGCAGGTCTGGGCATTCTATTTGTTCTCCTTGCTATGCATTCCCTTGCCAAGCATGTGCCCCTAGATCTGACAGCCTGTGGGCAAGTGATGCTAACTCACCAGTTGTTTACTTGCAGGAGAGTGAGGTTTGTCTGGGCTGCAATCTGCCTCTTCTCATCCTCAGTGGGGTAGGGGTGCTGAAATGAGAGGAAAGGCTAATGAGGAATGGGCACATGGAGGACAGATCTCCCTGGAGATCATGCCCAAGACATGGTCACAACTCAAGGCCAGGAAGCCCTAGTGGCTTGGGAGCCAAAACTAAGGAAAGGTTATTTGTTTTCCAAAGACAATGGGCCTAGCCCTTAGAGAGATTCCCCATGCCTTAGGCTCCCTTAAAACCAGCCTCACAAGGGGGACCAGGGTGGTTTCCAGTGTCAGTTCAATACTGGTAGATTGCAAAGCACTTTCCTTTGCTTCTCATGTGATCCTTCAGGATGGCAGGTGTTTTTGGTGCTAGGATCAAAACTGGTCCTTCAAAAGCCCTCAGAAGGTGGTAAGTGGGATGAACCAATGCAACCTATATTTATTGTTATTTACATCCACGATGTATTCAGATTTACACCAGGCATCTTGGGAGACAGGATAAATACTATGATATTTGGTATAAGACCTCTTCACCCTTTGAGAAGCATTTAACATCATTTAATCAAGCCAACAGCTAAGACTGTCCGGTGGATTAGTGTGCTACCCACTTTACAGATGAAGAAACTCAGTGACCTGCCCCCTGCCACTCGGGTGGTCAGTCCTTCTGACTGTGGCTCAGTCATTTCTTTGTAAGACTGAGTCAGGGACCCTGTGGAAGGCCCTGTGGTAGATGTCTCCTGTAGTTGTGCATGCTTCATTCACTCAGGCATCAATTACATATTCGCTCTCATTCTTCCCAGGCTTCAGGGGAGTGCAATGTTCACTTAAGAATGTACCCCACTACCTTCACACACGAATGGTTGCAGATGGAGGAAAGCAATGGCAAAGCCAGCATGCTGTGGTTTGGGCACTGAACACTATGGAAGCTCAGAGGAAAGGAATAATGACATTAAAGAATGGGAAAGTCTGACTGGGCATCTGTAATCTCAGCCTTTAGGAGGTAAAGGCAAGAGGATCAGGAGTTCAAGGTCATCCTCAACCAAATAGAGTCCAAGGTCAACCTGAGCTACAAGAGACCCTGTCTCAAAAACCAACCAACCAAACAACCTAACAAACAAGCAAAAACAAAAACAAATATAAAAAAGAAAGAAGAAAGGGAAAGTCTAGGAAAGACGGTCCTGAGGCCATTGGATAGTGAGCCATATAGCATTCAATCATTGCACCTCTTGAACTTTCTGAGGCCTCAGCACAGTCCCAGTAGATACTGTGAGACTCTAAATTGGCCAAAGAATCATTTTAGAAGCAAGAGGAGCCATGGGGGCTTCGGGGGTGGAGGATCAAGTCATCCAGCATTCTCAGACAAGGATCATTTCTTCTGATTGTGTTGCTGAATAGAAAGAGATACTTGGGTTTTCTAAAGTCCCAGAGATTAGGACTCACAAGCTGGCTCTATCTTGACTAGCTGTGAGACCTCAGGCATGTCACTTAATGAGACATTATAAAGTCATGTAATGATTAAATGAAATTATACTTGTAAAGAGCTCAGTGAAAGGTAACTCTTTATACTGTGATGATGGGGCCATGTGGGCAAAGTGTTTAAAGCTCAGTGAGGGTAGAGTTGGAGTGTTGCTGCCTTGGAAGTGCTCTCATTAGTGGTGACAAAGGAAAGCAGCCTCTTCAGTTGGCCTCCAGGTCCCCCGACTGAAGCAACTGGGACCATGTGTTGTTTTAATTCACACCTCTGACCCCGACTGTCATACCAGGGCAGCTGGGACTTGTGGTTCATACAATATTAAGAGTCTGACAAGAAGGAAAGAACACTAGTGTTACGGGAGCCAATTTCATGTTAATTGGGAAGGAGCAGAGAGAGGCTGGAGGGGAGATGGCAGGTCCTATGAAGTGGACAGGCAAGGAGTCTGAGTTCTGACCCCTGGTGGTGCTTCTGTCCTGCTTCACAAGGTTCCAATCTTCCTGTTCACAGGAGCCAAGCAGCCTCCCTCCACAGCTAGCAGATCTGTGAACAAAATAGAGTCTTCCCTTGTTATCCATGGCAGATTGGTTCCAGGACCTCCACGGATAGTAATATCTGCGGATGCTCCAGTCCCTTTCCATAAAATGGTACAATATTTACATACAGTCTGTACACTCTATACATAGCTGGGCCCCGAGCACTACGGGAGCTTAGAGGAAGGAAATATGTGCTGGCCATATCCCTCTGGGTGCTGTAAATCATCTCTAAATTACTTATGGTACTTCAATGTAAATGATGTGTAAATAGTTGTTATACCATATTATTTAGGGAATGACGTTAAGAAAAAAATCTGTACGTGGTTAGTACAATTTTTTTCAAATGTTTTCAATCCACACTTAATTCAATCTGCAGGGTATATAATCCACAGATACATGTGGGTCAACCACATGACCAAAATATGGCAACCTTTCAGCCTTCATGCCCGGCAACGCTGTCCCACCGCTGCAGCCGCTTTTCTCATCTTCCTGCTTCAGGCCCTTCTGAGCAGCTCTGAAAATCTGTCATAGGTTAAATCCTCAGGGACACCTTTCCAAGCTCTCTGAGGCCAAGAGAGTCATGATATAGCAACATATGTCTCAGGAGGCTATGGGCTGCTATTGGGCAGGAACCTAGACTCATTAGACGTCATCTCTCCAGTGTCCAGACCAATCATAGGCAAAGGAAGTCATGTCTAATAATGGTGTATATGAGTCAATGGACACAAGAGGGACTATGTGGACTCATTTTCTGAGCAGAGCTGTGAAATTAGTCTACATAGACTGGGTACCTGCTGCTTCCTGAGTGCCAGAAGTCAGAGATACCTGAAGTCAGGAGCTCAGAGCTGAGATGAAAGGTGTGTGTGTGTGTGTGTGTGTGTGTGTGTGTGTGTGTGTGTGTGTGTGTTACCTCTATTAAAGGAAGTCTGTACCAAACACTCTTTGGGTCACAGGAGAAACAAGGGCTGGTATGGTTGGGGAAGTTTCCCTAGAGCTTCCTAGGGCATCAACTGGGCTTTGAAGAAAAGCCAGGTCATTTCAAGCAGAGTAGAAATGAGGCCCTATGTAGGACCTTGTACCACAACTTAGTTAACCCAGTCAAATGAGCAGGTCTTCGACTGTTAAAGATCTCACAGAGGGAAGTGCCCACCATGGAACATGGATTAACATGCTTCCATCTAGCAGAGCACTGTAAGAGTTGTTGCCCAACACTCGATTGCTCAGTCCCCACTACCAGGTTCCACCACCTCCTCCTCTCAGAGAAGCATCTGAAGAAGCACAGGGCAGATGCTGTGGGCGAGTAGAGACACTTAGCCCAGCTTTGGGAACAGGTGTGGGGGCCAGAACATTCCTGGCACCACAGCTGAGGGCTATGGAGGCAGTCCAGCTTGCACACGCCTTAGACCACATGATTCCTGAGGACAGAATCAAAATAGTCTTGGCTCTGGACAGACAGGTTTGGGTCAGTGCTACTTTTAGCACAGCTGGAAAGGCTTGGAACCAAGGACAAGATGGGGAATGAAATGAGATCTGAGTATGCTTCTGAGCCATGGAAGCTGCTCTCTGATCATGAGCTGGAGGAATTCCCTTGGAGGTAGAAGGAAGGGCCCAGGCTGCACCACCCTCCAAGTGGATAGTTCTTCCTTGAAAAAGTAAAGAACAGACCAGAAAATTCCAAGTCCTTCTCAGTGCCAGTCTGAAGACTTCCACAACTGGGTAGTACTTCATGGTGGTGAAGAGCCAGAGGGATGGGAGTCCTACCCCACCAGCTGGTGGCTGTGGGGCCTTGGCTGCTTTGTTGTTTTGTGTCTTTCATCCTTGGCTTTCTCCACTTAATGTAGAGGTAGCAAAGGGATCCACCTCTTGGACTTGAGGGTGATGTAATGAGCCAACAGGACAAGTGTGCTACACTGACTCATAGATGCAACAAGGCCTTCCAGACTCCTTCAGTTGAACAGTCAAGATATCCAGACAAGGGACTTGCAGCATATGTGTTAAGTAGGTGTTTCATGACCCTGTGGCTGCTATCAAGAAGCCTATTTGAGTTGGGTGTGGTGGTACATGCCATTAATCCTAGTACTTAGGAGGCAGAGACAGGTGGATCTCTGTGAGCTCGAGGCCAGTCTGGCCTACAGAGCAAATTCTAGGCCAGCCAGGGCTACACAGTGAGACCCTGTTACAATAAATTAAAAAGAAAAAGAAAAGTCTCCCTGAAGCATGACCTAAACTCCTTTCCAGCTCCTCCCTTTAAAGTTCCTCTGGGTCAAATGACACAAAACAGCTTTCAGTTTGAAGACTGAGCTCTAGTCAGAAAGAAACTAATTCACTGCTGGATTCTATGCCCCTGGCTACTTCTTCATTAAAATCTACCCAGTCACCCTTTCACCTCCTTAGCCCATGTCAATACTGCCACATGGCTAGCCAGGTCACAAAGGGACCTGACACCAGGGAGTCCACTCTAGATGTTGTGGGTGTCACTGGAGCCTGTGTTCTGCTTAGGGAGTCTGAGTCCCTCAGGCTCAGTGAGGGGCCTCCTGCTCCAACTTCCCCAGCACTGCTCTGGGGCCCACCGGGCCTTTCTTGGCCTTTTCCTTCCTGACAGCCTTGTGCAGGTGCTTGTTTTCAGCCTTTACTCTGTTGGCTTGGCCCTGCTCTGGAGGACCTGTGACCCAGAGGGAGGCAGCCAGGAGGTTTAGAGGCCTGAAATGACACATGACAGGCATCACATCTAAGATGCTTTTGATGCAGGATGTACCCTGATTTCAGAGATAAAAAGGGGGACAAAATAACTAAGCCTGGAAGCAAGGAAGCCTTATGGGAGCAGCAGGAGCACAGTTAGTGATGGAGTTTCTTCTCTGTTAAGATGGTTCTCTCTCTTCTCTCTCTCTCCTCTCTCTCTCTCTCTCTCTCTCTCTCTCT